AATGCCATAGAGGAGAAGAGATGGTTCCTCTTATAATCTTTCAAGGTAGGGCAAGCCAGTCAGTTCCCACAACTGAGACTGTACTGTGGCTGTATGACGTCTACAGTTAATACTCCAAAGACAACAATCTCAATTGTGCTACAGAAAGCTTAATACTGTATATGAAGGACAATATTGGTTGGGAGTTTTCTTGAAAGGTTATCAATGCAAAACATTTAAACACCTTTTATAGATCTGAAATAACATCAATGCTATTGAAGAATATGGTGGAACAACTCTTCAGCCACATACTGTAATGCACAAATAGAAAGAGAACACAAATAGATACTATCTGGAAGTGCACTTAAAAGTGAGAACAGAAGGCACTTCTTTTATACAGGTGGAATTATGAAAAAAACTACCCAGCTATGTTGTTGAAGCTGATATCCTGGCTTCTTTCATTAAATAGCTGGATGTCATCCTTGGATTGGTGTTATTAAACACTTAATGAACTACAACCAATTGGCACAAGGAATTCTTCTAGTTTGTAAAAATGTGAATGTTTTTATGAACATACTGCGTACGTGTATGCGTATATTCAGTTGTGTACTTTTAGATAGACATTCTAAGTTAGAAAAAAGTGAGACGATCACTACTTAAAAAGGTTTTCAAAAATCTGCTTTAAACCGTCTGTGAGGAAGAAGCTCTCAGAACCCCAAGAAGAGAAGCAGAAGAGTCCACATAATGCCAATGTTTCCAAATCAATCAATGAAAGAGAAATACAGTAAAGCATATTGGACATGCTACTGTGAGGATTTGATCAAGGGTGAGGGAAAAGAAAGAATGAGAGCATTATAACACAGGATATAGTTATTAATAAGAAAGCAGAATTATTAATTACAGAATATGGTGAATGTGCTCAACTGGATCAAGTTAGATCTGATGAAAAGTCAATCCACACCGGAAGACCAGTGATCAAGGGATGATAGGACAACTGATCAATGGTGGTGTCAATTCCTCGATGAGCAGTGAAGGATTTTTCTATCAATCTGAAAGAATCACAACAATGGAGAGTCAGCAATGATTGATGTGTAGTGGGTCATTGTGGGGCAGACACTGTGATTGTCTGAGATAATTGGAATAAGGAATAGGAATAGAAAGGTTCACAAGGATCTTTTTGCGAGACTGAAGTTGTGATTTAACAGATGTGTGGGAGGAAACCAAATTAAAAGCCAATACTTTGGCTTTCCTTCTTATAAGTGGTCCCTGTCTGCACTAGGTGCTGTGTGCAACTTTTCTCTCACCTTCTCTCAAACACCTGTGTTTGGTTGTGTCTGTTGGCCAAGGAGCTGCCTAAATGTTCGCCCTGTTTTTAGCTGCCCCATGTGGCATCACAATATATAAACTATTTTCACAACTGAAAGGATGTATAAGATCCGATAGGTAATTTAAACCATTGAGCCATTTTGGTTTAAAATATTAAATTATTTATTGTACTGCTACAACCAAATTTGATCCTGATAAATATTTACATTTTATATTTTGGAATGTCTGAGTACAATGCATTTTACTTCACAAACATTACAAGGGTTATAGAGAGCTTAAGTGTCCTTATGAACCTGAATACTTTGCAAGAAAGGTCTGTTAACTCACATTAGGGGTCTTAGATCTTGGATATAGTGGATTCTCCCAACAGTTAATGTTTTTCATAAGTCTGGAGCTCCCTAAAATTACAGGAGAGTAACACATCAAATTCATTAATCGATGCAGTGATGCATCAGTAAACTGATGTGCCTCTTTATGCTGTCATGTTTTTCAGGGAAAAAAAGACAATGGTCAAAATTCCTCCTAAGAACAAGGTTCCTGGTGTTGATATTTTACCTCTACATCATTCGTTCTGATCTGGTATTTCAAAGAGTTTACAGAGAGACAAGCAACCTTAACACAGGAAGGAACCTGACTGTGCACAAACAGCATCTTTTGTGCATGAGTGGTGAGCACTACCTGGCTGATGCAAGTGAATACTTCTACATCATCAAGGGAAGCTCGTATCGGCATGTGTGTGACCTGAGCACTGATAGCAAGGTGCACATGTTCCCACTTCATCCGAACTGTTAAGGTGGAGATCACTACCTGTTCTTTGATGGGTATTTCCATATCATCCTTGAAAACAAAGACAAAGAGTTCCCACGTTATCACAGAATGTACAATCTAACAGAAGATACCTATTCTTCTACCCATGTGCTCCATTCAGACATTCCTCAAGGCCTCTATTATTGGGGCTCAGCTACTTAGTTCAATGTCCTTAAACCAGTTGATGAATGGGGAGTTCAGTACTGTGCATACAGTGATTTGAGTGAAAGTGCTACGGTACACACATATTCATTCAGTCCTGATGTGACAGTCTTCCTGCCAGCTGGGTTAGCAGTTGTCCATGGCGAGGCGTTCTCCTGCTGTGAAAACATTAAGACCATATCCAGTGATTCAGTCACACCGATATCCTGGAACAAGAAGATTACCAAGAAGATAGGGTATGTAAAAGAGATGCTGTCCAAACTAGAGAACAACCGGAAGGTGGGAGTTTCTCTGCCATAAGCATGTTTTGTCAGTTGTCAGCTGAGTGTCAGTGCAGAATATGGAGGATCATCCCTCAATACAGAGAAAGAAAACTGGAAGGAAGCAACAACAGAAGAAGAGACCATGTCCTTCACTCTGAAGCCCGAAGAAATAATATCCATTTAGCAATATGTGATTGGTTTTGGGAAATAAAAGGTATTGTTCTCCCACCACATCAAATTTGCTGACAGCTGAAAACGGACACGGGGAGGAGACGACGAGGAACTGGGCAGGTTGACAAACAGGGGGGTGTGACGACTGTGCACTGGTGGGCGGGGGGGGGGGGATCCATCCAAGGCAAGGTTAAAAACCAGAACAGGATCCGGTGCAGGGACGGGGAATAAAAACGGGTTAACGAGACCAGGAGCTCTGAGCCCCGGACCCAGATGGTCAGGACACCGTGATGAAGCCTATGCCGTTGGGTCACTCCTGGACCTACTGGTAGGCGGGCTTCTGGGAATCCATCTTCCAATGCTGAGCCCAGAATAGTGAGAGTGTATGGCTTAAATGAGGAGGGGAAGGACTGGGGGCAGGTGAACATAAACAACTAAAATGTGAAGGATCTGGAGCGCTCTTAAGAGGAGGGATTACGATAGTGACAGATCCACCAACTGAAGAGCCCATATCCCACTTTAAGAATGAATAAATGTCACCAGATTGCCAGAAATTCTCTATAGCTAAAAATATCTAGCAAAATAGATACACAATATGATTTAAGCATATCATAATACTAAATTGAGAATCACAGAACAAGTGTTAGTGAGTTAGTATTTTGATTTGACATTAGTCTGTTAGGAAAGCGTAATCTTTGAATAATATTCTTGCATGTTTTATTTTGTTGGCATAAATCACCTTTACATTGTTTTCTTTTTTATATTTTGACTGAAAAGGCCAGTTTGCTATTAATGGTTTCTTTAAGCAAATGTCTTATGTACAAGATAAAATAATGTGCAAGGAAGGAAATGCATTATGACATTCATAGATTTTATTGAAAGTTACAGTACAAGCAAGTAAATTGTATTTGATAAATCAAATTTCAGTGTCAATATACAGTATGAAGCACTTACAAATGTAATCACTTAGATGAATGATTCTACATACCATTTTCACTGTAATCACTAATGGAAAATAAAGTTTAAATTAAATTCTAAAATCAAGCTATACTTTTTTATTTCTGTGTTACTGTGTTGTTAGAATTTGAATATATAATGCTGATAAATTAAGGTAACTGAGCATTACTGAACCCACATCCATGCGCTAGGGAAATCCTTGAATTGTCATATACTGTAATGGCAGTGGTGGCCTCGTCTTTTAGTGTGTATTGGCAAGAAGAAAGCCATATCTCCTTTAGCTCTTACTCTCCTGTAGTCACCAGGAGACACCAGTCTCAGATTGTGAAAAATGATATACAGTACGGGCAAAGAAAGTAGTATTGTCTCCAAGCTCCATGAGCTGGTACAAAAATGAAGATTCTGAGCTAACTGATGATTCCAGACATTGTCAAAGGCTTCTATCCATCTCTACATTATTAACAATTTCTTCCAATACAGGGTCACAGTACAGTTGGAGATTTCATTGGCACAAGGCAGAATATACCTTGTAAGGAATACCAGCCCACTGCAGGGCACACACACACAAATTAACCTACCAGTATGTTTTGGACTGCAGGAGGAAACCAGAACACCTAGAGTAAACCCACAAATTCTACACAGTCAGCACCTAGGTCTGGAATTGCCTGGTCTAAACTCATTCAAACACATGGTCTGGAATTGAACTCAGGACCCCAGTTCTGTGAGGCAGCAATGCTGTCCACTGCACCATCATGCTGCCTGTCAATGGCTTGTATGAAGAAAGTAATTGTTGGATTCCTATCTACATATATACAAAACCGTTACTTTTACTTCATGAACTTTAATTTGTGAAATGAAAAACATTGAAAAGAAACACACATTGCAAAGAATCAAGCCTTGATATAAGTTAATGAAATTTTCAAATGACTCCTTTTGTCACAAGATCTTTTTCAGTTCTGCATTATAAAACCAATTATACTGCAATACCAACATTATGTCATAGAGTTGAAGAGATTGTTCCTCTTCCAAACTTTCAAGGTAAAGCAAACCAGTCACACTTGAGACTGTACTGTGACTGTATGACAGCAGTTCATCTCACTGTGCTGAAATCTGGTCATGACATGCAATATGGAAGATTGCAACATTTATGAGAATGTTGAATTCCCAAAAGACGCTGAAAAGAAGCAGCATGGAGAGAAAGAAGATCAAACACCATCAGGTAAAACTTTTAAAATGAACTCTTGATGATGTAGGGTGCTTACTTGAAGGCAATTGTCTTTTGCAGAAAGAAAAGTCATAATTCATAGACTTAAACAACTTGGTAATACTAGTGCTTATTGTGTGTTTTTCTAACAGAAAAGTTTAAATGCTCTAAAGGTTCAATTCTATGGAATTTTTACTTAGAAGTGTGAAATGTTTAAACTAATTTTGTAAATCTGGAGCAACAGTGGTAATTTAGAAGCTTACGCCTGTTATAAATAAGCACAACATTTCAAATTTCAAAAATTCTCAAAGGCACAGACAAAGTCAACCCTTAGAAAGCAGGAGGCTCTTCTTCACACACATGGATGGGGACGTATGAAACAAGTTATCCAGCCAAGTTGTTAAAACTGATTTCTTGGCTTCTTTCAAGAGATATCTGAACAAAGATCCTTGTACCAATTAGCTACTAACTACCAAATTCATAAACATGGTAAACATGGGAAAAAAAGCGGGTGACCAGAAATGCATTCTGGCTATAAATCTCCCCGTATAACTGCTTGAATTCAGAGCACAATGGGAGATGCAGCTTGTGTGTGTCTTCTTCTGTGCTGTCCGGAAATGACCTTTTTCATCACAAATTAAACCCATTTCAAACCCTCATTGAACTGTACTTGCATCTCTGCACAATGTAATCTCATATGGATTTAACATGAAATGCCTTTTAAGTCTAAACATATTCACATGGCTTAGTCCACTTCCCAATATAATGAACAAGCATAGTGAAAGTAAATGTGCCAAGGAAACCATTTCACATTGAAAATAAGGTTAGTTTCTGCTACACATTCATGGAAGGTAATAAGGCATTATTTAACTTGAAATTTATTTGCAACTGCCTGTGAATTTAATGTATGCTATTCTATGCTAAAATTTATGCTAGACAAGTTGAAATGTTTCTCATAAATAAATAATCCTTAAGCACTTATATTTCTAAAATTATTTGTAGGTGAATGTCAGGATGCTGACAGCAATATTGATTATGAATGCTTTGAATGGGAAGACACCTGTCATACAGAACAACAGAACCAAAAACAACCACAGAGGGGTAGCCTAGAGCTGAAATCCTCCAGATCTACAGGTACAGTAGATGTGTATAAACTGACACTGTAGTTTCGTAATTGCTCAGTTCTGGGATTTTGGGAATAAGGTGTCATGGAAGCAGGGGATTAGCCATGGAGAGAGTCCAGCCAGACGGGAGGACCCTATGTGTAGTGGTAGGAATGGAACAAACACGGGGGTTCAGTCCAGGCTCAAGGTATCGGGTGGAGTCGGGGACAAGACATAAGCCCTCAGGTAGCCTCAGGTGAAGCGAACCTCTTGACAACGTTTGACAACGATCCTAATGCCGAGCGAGGAGGATAGGGAGACCTGGAAATAAATAGCCCCAGACAACAAGACACACCAGAAGAACAAGTAAAGCACAGGGAAACTAGGAACAGGACAGAGCAGGAGCGCCCTCTAGATATAGAGGGCGTAACAATAAGGCTCTACCCAATGGGAAACCACAATCAAGGATGGAATTTGAAATCTGCGGTTGACAAGCATGAGGTGAAGCCAAATTGTGTGGAATCACTAATTAAAAGATCATGTCTCTTGCGTTTCTTGGGTCTAGGTTCTGCTGGCTGTGAGACCAAATACACTGTTCTTTGCCTTGTGCTGGCAACTGTCTTCGTCTTCTTCATGTCTCTCCTCATGGCAGTCTTCATCAGCAGTAAGTATGGCACATCATTCAAATCTGTACTAACACTTGCTATTAATTTCTAATTAAAAATATAACAACCAAAGTGACAACATTGACAATGCTGGTATGGAGAGCCATGCTTTTTTAAAACTTTGTCAATTTGCTGTCTATATTGCAGACGCAGCCCTGAAAGAGGAGATTAAAAACCTGAGAAGGACACATTCCATGTGGACAGAAAACAGTACTAAACAAACAGTTACTTAATTAAAACCAGGTTTCCCATATCACTGAGAGTCAAATATACTGTACAGTACAGCAGATAAACTAAAATAGCTTCTGTTCTGTCCCATAGGTCTCCTGAGTGAGACAGAATAATTCATTTCTTGGTGTCTGGACAAAGTTTTATTTCAAAGAAATCTGCAATCAGATAGCAGATAGCAGATTTGTGTTTTCAGAAATGGACCACAGAAGGTTTCACAGTGCTTCTTTATATCTCAGATATTTATGAATGCTAGTCAACAGTGTACAGACAACGTGGTTTTGTAATACAGCCTATCATTGGAAATAAATATTTATTACATGATAGGTTACATTGCAGGACTTTTCCTTTAGGATCCATCCTTCAAAATACCCCTATTTCTGAGCAGCCTTTAGGCTAGTGTGCTTGGCCAGTGACAATCAATGGACAGAGGACAGCGTATAGCCACTATCAATTGGACAGAATAAGGAAAGCAGGTGGAACCTGGTAAGAAGGAAGTGATTTAAATACCTGGATTTGCGTATCCGTAAAATATCCATTCAATATTGAATAAATAAACAAAAATGGATAAATATCTTCCCGTTGGTTGGATGTGGTTAATGGTTATGCTGTATACCAGCAAATGAGTATGACAAACCTGTGTGTGGAGTGATGAAGTGGGAAGGAGCATTTGTTGTTTCAAAGCGAGCTCTCTGCGTGAACCATAGCCTTGATAAATGGGTTTTGAGTCAGACACTAAGTGGACAGTCAGGCAACAGAAATAAGGAAAACTATAATGAAGATTTCAGACGGTGTTTAAAAAAACTAAGACAATAAACAATAAAAAACACTCATCTTACAAACTGTGAACAAGATTCATGTTCAGACAGCCTTTGCATAGCAAGACTACTTTGTCTTTTTATTTGCATAGAGTATAATCTAAATCACAGATATATAAATCCATGTAACACTTGTCAAAATAGAAAACCAATGGCTGACACAAAAAAGTGGATTTGAGGTCATGTTCATCGTATGTGCTCTGAACAAGAGCACTGCAGCAATTCAGTCCAACAGATTCTTAGGCAGCCACCAAGTACTGCACAGTAAAAGCAAAATTGTGTTACTCAGACAGAAAAGTGCAGAAAACTCCCCCTTTTTAGCAAAACTCATAACTCTATAGTGACACATTCAGAAAGTTGCTTTGCTTTGCAAAATCCTTTATACCCTTACAAAAACTAAAAACCCAAATTACATATAGGACCATGTCATTTTCAATGTTATTTTTTTCTGTATGTTGACATGCGGTTTTGTGAGCACTAATTCTTATTTATTCACTTTACACTTAAGTTACAGAAGCCATGAGGAAGCTCACAGAGGAACAGGACAGTTTGAGTACCCAAGGTAAACTTTGTTTCATACTCTTTGCCTGTGTACATGATTCTGTGTACTGGAGATACTGGTGTATCTTTGTGGAGAGGCCTGTCTTGGGTATCAAGAATATTTTTCACATTTTACATTTCAAACACAGCAATGGTCAAGATGTATTTATACCACTGTTTTTTTGTACAAATGAGAATCACAGAAAATGTGTATTGTTGCATATGTGTACACAGACTTTGTATGATATTTTCCAAAAGAGTGATTGAGGCACAGAATTGTTTTTACAATGCACCATGGTAGTTTGAAGTGTTACCGCAGTGTATACTGTATTTCATAGTACTTCCTCTTTTAAGACATACAGTAGTGTTCTAGAATATCTTAGTCCTTATTTGTCTGTTTTATTACTATACTACATACACAAGACATACTGCAAATGTAGCAAGACCTATATTTACTGTAAATGTATATCCCTGTTAACCTTTGAGTGACTAGTGACTAGTGGAATAATCAGATTGCATTACATTATTACAATTATTCTCATATTTATTTGTTTTTCATTTGAATTACATTTGTACAGTCATTTGTTATTTTTGTTTACAATCTCGTTGGTATTTTTCCTTAGATGCTAACATTTCTTCACAAATTGCCCAGCTCAGAATGCAAGGTTAGTACACAGAGGTGAAATATATGCAGTAAACAAGTCAAATCCAGATGATTGTATGTTTTTCAACACTTAGTTCATATACTGTATATTATTATACTGTATGTACATTTATTGGGGTCTTAGAGCAATTCTGTTGTGTGGCATTTCTACACATTTGTTCAATCACTTGCTGTATTCACACATTGTATTCACAATATTATTATTTTTCTCTTAGATGCTAGCATCTTTGCAGAAATAACCCAGCTTAAATTGCATGGTAAGTTTTTAACTACTATACCTGTTGCTTGGGAATCAATTCCAGTACTCAGTGGTTATGGTGTACAGAGTTGCACAAAGTACAGTAAGATCTGAAATTGTCTGTGTTTATTCAAACCCATAGCAAAAAAAAAAGTTATCTGTCTCCCTGTCATAAACAATACTTACTCATTAAATGGCACCTTCTATAAGATAATTAAACACTTACTTATCATACCAATTGGTACATTAGATATTATTGTCAATTTAAGATCTTGTCTCTGGTTCCAGCTCGATAGACTGCTGTGACAAAATTGATACAGTATATACAGTAATATCTGATCGAAAGACAGGGGTTGATTTATTCTGGCAGTTTTCACTCTGTATCCAGTCAAACCTCTGAGATCAACAGCCTAAAGACAAGTAAAGGTGTTATTGATTGATGTTTCCTGTTATATATTACAGTATATGCTTTGAAGTCTTGTCCATGTGATTGGAAGATGTTCAACGGGAAATGTTACTACTTTTCCCAAGACACAAGAGACTGGAATGGAGCTAAATCTCACTGCAGTCAGCAGGGCTCTAATCTTGCTGTTGTCAAGACTTCAAAAGAACTGGTGAGAGCTATGTGTTCCTCACTGAGAAACAAAAGTTAGAAGGATACTTATGATAGTTCCATTAGGAAATAGAACTACTTTTCCAAGTCATAAGGGACTGGAATGGAGCTAAAGAGAACTGCAGGCAGCTGAGCTCTCATCCTGCCATTGTCAAGACTTTTGATGACCTGGCAATAATCAGTCACCATTTCTCACAGAGACATACAGTATCATCAGTGAAGTTATGAGGCTTGGTGTAAGGAATTGGAAACAATGGAATAATTGCTTATTCCAGCTAAACTATTGTGAACAGTTCAGAAGGAATATTAACATTCTGTTTACCTCAGTTTCCCACATGTCTAAAAGGCTGTAGTTGTAACCCAAACCCATTTGTACCTATTGTTCTCAAGTGGCAAAGGTTTTCCAGTATATTTCCCCAAAATAATTTTATGAAGTGTTTTATTTTTTAAAAAATCCTCTTTTCTGTGTTTAGCTATCACTGGGTTTGCACCTCCAGCCTTGTGCAGGTCATTCATTGCAGGACATGTAGTTTTGAATGTGATGCTCCTGATTGTCTCCTTCATTGTTGCACACGATACTGTATCTTGATCGTGATGCTTTTGATGTCTTTTGCTCATCAGAAGTTTTTAGGAAGTCAGATCTCATCAGATCACTGGCTGGGGCTGATCTATCAACAAAGGACCTGGACATGGCTGGATGGCAGCTCTGTGGAGAGGAGGTAAAGACTGAATGGGTTTACACTCAAAAAGGGAAAATAAATCAGATTCAATTTTTAAATATAGACTGAAAAAATTGATGATGGGTGTTGATGGCCAGCTCTGCAGCGTCCTAGGTCCTGACCTGTCAGACCTGTCTGTATTATGTTTGCTCTACTCCTGTGCTTGTAAGGGAATCCTCAGGTACTGTAGTTAAATTTCCTCCACAGACAAACAGGGTAGATTTGATAGACTACTATCAGTGAGTTATTCCAGAAGAAAGCAGCTGATTACCTCTTTACTGGGGACCCTGACAAGAGTGGTCTGATGTCTAGCTGCCCTGCCTGCAGTAGGAAAGATGGGTTGCCTGGACAGCTCAACCAAGGGGACAGTCAATTAATATTGTAAAATCCAGCAAACCGTGTTCCTTACCAAGCTATGGAAACAGATACAGTACCAACGAACTAAGTTAGGTGGAGCCTGAGGGGCATCACCATAAATAGTGACAGGTTCAACGTGTCATTGCAGCATATCTGATTCCTGT